TTTTTTTTGCCTTCTTTGAACGTTCATGAGCCTCTCGACTTTCCTTTTTTCTCTTTTTCTCATGGTAATCCAAGCGGTACCCATAGCGTTTACGATGTAATTCAATATATTCATTCTGTGGCATGATGACAGCTGCAGAGCCACTGCCGGTGGCCTCAAGAGTGCAAAGAAAAGTCCTAACTTTGGGGCGTCCCAGACGCACGAGCTGCCTCTGCGCCTAAAGATAATATTCTTGATCTTTCTAAGTTTGTTTCTTCTTGATAGCTACGTGTCATTTATATTTTAATGCTGAGTTGTGTAAGCTGATAGAATATCAACAAGTTAGCATGCGTATTAAGAAATATCTATTCTACTTTATAAAAACATATCTTCAAAGCACAAGTTGGCCAAAGAGCTCTAGATAATTCCTTCATATCCTAGGCCACTGAACTGTATATTGTTTGGGTTTAGAAAGCTATTATTATCAACATTTCAAAATAAGTCTGTGTTTTTTAAATCTTTTCTTAAAAATAAATCTGAGGCTTTTGTAGATAAATGGATGCAGCTAGAGACTATATTAGTAAGTGAAATAAATCAGATCCACATGAGCAAGCGTTGTAATATCTTGCTAGTGTGAGAACCAGAAAGAGTAATGAAAATCAAAAAGGTGCAACAGATACTGTGAAAGGGAAAGAAATTGTTCAATGGGAAGGAAAAAGTGGGATGAGGAAAAGGACAAATGAAAGGAAGGAAAAAATATATTTAGGCATACATGCAGGATGGTTTGGATAATTGTACTGTAGATTTCTGTTGGTCTTTTGAAAGGAGCAGTTAATATTTAATTTTTTTAACTCTGATTCTTTTTCCTCTTTTGAATTTCTTATAGCTTCTTTGATAGTTTTGTTTTTTCCTTTAAATGAGTCTTACATGTTTATATTTGTTAATCTGAACAATCAATTTAAAGATAGCATGATGTAATACAATAACCATTGTTGAATTCCTACTATTTTGTCTAGTAAAATCTTATATCTTTTTTTTTCTATCACTATTTTCTATTCTTTTTTTATGTATTTAGTAGAGAGTCTACAGGGTCTCACTATACAGATCAGACTTGTAGTGATCCTCCTGTTTTCAGCCTCCCAAGCACTGGGATTACAGGCATGCACCGCCACAGTCAGTCTCAATCTTGTCTCAGCGGGCCTCAGGGAAGGGGTTGACACAGTACGCTGGGGATTGAACCTAGCTACTGCACCTTGCCTAAGCAGGTGCTTTAGTCCGCTGAGCTATCTGGCCAGCACTTGTTGCTCTTATCATTGTTATTATTTCTGGGTGGCTCAGCCATCCTGAGGGCAGGGCTGGTGCAGCATGTGGTGCCAGGATCGAACCGCAGCCCCTTGCGCCTGCCTAAACTTGCCTAAGCAGGTGCTTTAGACCACTAAGCTATCTTGCCAGCCCCTCTTTTCTTTTTTAGGTACTGGGGATTGAACTCAGGACCCTGTGCTTGCCAGGCAGGAGCTTATACTGCTGAGCTATATCCTCAGCCCACTATTTTGTATTCTCTAAAAATCTTTTTTTTTTCCATAATTTTATTGAGAAACAAATAGCAATGAGACAGTTTCAAACCAAATTGGTAGGACAGTTTCAATAATTAACACATTGCATACATTCTTCCTAGTGGTTAATTGCTGTACAAGATGCGGACATGATATCTTATTTACAAACACCGTTAGAACAAATCCCTCTGTTCATTAAGAGAATGTAACTGTATAGCTATCCTAATCACTTTGAATACACAGATACAAAATGGACATTCATTTGTATCCCCTTTTTTTGTTAAGTTCCATTATTTGAAATCTTTAAAAATCTTTAAAAAAAAAATCTGTGAATTAGACCAGAGAGAATATTTTCAAACAGCCTCCTGCATTAAGAAACAAATCTACAAGCAAACATCTTGACATCATATAATTATTTCATTTACCATTAAAAACAGGATCCTTCTGTGAATGCAAAAGAAGCACTATTAAAAATCCTATCAGGATAGCAGGGGCTAAGTGGGACAGGCCAAGAGAGACAGGACAAATGCTCCTCTATCCCGCACCTACTGAGAAAGCCAAAATCAATCCCAAACCCTCCCCAGGGCCATCCACAAACGCCAAACGATCAGAAGGTGACCAGGACATACTTGCGCTCGCCAAGGCCCAGCCTCCCCCGTGGATGTAAACGACGCTGCGTCTCAGCGGCTCGCCGGGTTTTGGAGAGCCTTCAAACACTCGAACTTCCACACCGTCAAAGTCTGTGTCAGTCACCTTCACTCGTGCGGAGGACCACGCGCTTTTCTTGCCGAAAGAAACGATGATAAAATTCAGCGCGATGAGATGGTGGCTCAGCCCCAGGTAGTGTATCAGGTTGCTCTGCAGGAGGGGGAGGGGAAGCAGAGGGGGGACCGGTGTCAGCGGGAGTTCTCACCAGTGACTGCCACCGAGTTGGGGGACTCATGCGACAGTTGTAACCCGATGACAAGTGCAGTTACCTTGTGCTGACACAGCCAGCGCGGACATACCATTTTCACACATGAAATGTCTTTTCACTTTTCAGGCCAATCCTGAGAAGGAAACGGGACGGGTAATGTGAGTTCTGTGTGCTCGAGAAAGCTTAGGAAGAAGCACTGAGCTTGCCCTCCAGGGTAGAATAAGTGGCAGGTCTGAGGCTCAAACCTAGAATTTGTGAAGTGCAGCATTTAGTCCTTTTGTTGTTGTTGTTATTATTATTGTTTCATTTTTTAAAATAAGCACATCTTATTGCCACAACATACTAGGAGTGGAGAAAGAACATTTAAGCGCAAATAAGAGGAAGGCAGTATCTTTAAAGGGCTTGAAGTTTACCTCTGTGTGCCTGTGCTTTGAGCGCAGGAGAAAGGAATGAATGCGAGAGAAGCAACCAGGTCAAGGTCCTAGCACCGAGAGGCAGGCCAGCTCAGGCACAGCCAGGAGCTTTCCAGAAATGAGCAAAGGCCACCCTGCCTGAGGTCTCTTCCCTTCTGACCCTGCCAGTCTGCGTAAAGCATTCACAGGAAGTATCTGGCAGCAGGGGACACAGAGACGCAAGAGACGCGCCACCCACGCAGCAGACACCCTGCAGAGTTCACTCCTCTCTTTGCACTCGTACAAGCCGCTCAGGAGGGAGACTAGCTGGGGAGGAACAGTGCTCTTTTGTAAAACGTGAAACAGACCTTGGTGGCTGGCGGAACCATCGAGATGCCATCAGAAGATCAAGGCAACAATGGTAGCAGGAACCAGGACCAGGCGACATCCACAGTGTACCGTCCCTGCTTCCCACCCTATGAGTGGGGGCACCCGGTTGTCTTGGGAGGGGACCAGGTGGACTACAGTGCTCAGTCCTCAGCCTCTGACAGTCAGGCATCTGAGCCGTTTACCCAGTTCCCCAGATAAGAGCTATTATTGTGTGTGACAAATCTGTCACCATGAAGAGGGTTGAAACGCCCTGCACTTATAAACCATCAGTTGGAATTTGTGAAGAACAAGAACAAGAGGCAATTAATATCACAATGAAGAGCTATTTCAGGAATTCCACTAATACCCATTTGTTGGTAAGTATCAGAGGGGGCAGTACAAATGAATACTAATAAAATAACTCAGTTTCTATATGCGCTGTGACACCAACTGCCCAACTCACTGAGAAAGTTAAAATAACTACGAATGTCCTTGATCTAAATAAATAAATAAATAAATAAATAAATAAATAAATAAGGGCTGGCCAAATAGCTCAGCAGATCAAGGTGCCTGCAAGTAGGCGCAGGGGACAGGGGTTCGATCCCCAGGCCTGCCCTGCTAGCCCTGCCCCAGGGCACACTGAGAGGGCTATTGAGACTGGGTGTGGTTGTGCGCCCACCTGTAATCCCAGCTCTTGGGAGGCTGTAAACAGGAAGATCACTACAAGTCTGATCTAGCAGTGAGAACCTGAATACCCTGTAGACCTTTCCCTAAAATACAAAGAAAAAAAATAACTAAACAAATAAATATATGTGGGGGGTTGTGCATGTGTACACATAGAGGATTCTAGTTAGCAGTATAAGCTTTTAGCAAGTTGGAAAAGGCCAGTCCTCATTGAAGTTTTGTACAAAAATAGCAGTCATCTTCATTAACACTGAGATTTACCAGGGCACAGCTGAGAGTCACTGTACCTGCCAAGATTCCTAGGGGAGACACAATCAGCCCTTGTCTGTTATCAAAGAATAGGACATAGGCAAGAGCCACTCCATTCCTCATATGACACTAGCTTGAGAGCACGAAATGCTGAAGTACAAAGGGCTGAGCTTCCTGACTGCCTCATGTGAGCTGCCCTACTCCACCACACCCTCCTGCCAGGAGGTGCTCGCCTTGGGGCCAGGACCATGCACTGCACCCATGGAGCTCAGCAAACACAGGAAAGGAGGGAGGGAAAGAAGGAAGGATGAATGGAAGGAGGGAGACAGAAAAGGAGGGAGAGAGGGAAGGAGGGAGGAGAAAGGAGGAAGGAGGGAGGGAAAGAAGGGAAGAAGAGAGGAAGAAAGAAAAGGAGGGAAGGAGGAAGAGAAAAAAGGAGGGAGAGAGAGAAGGAAAGAAGGAAGAAAGGGCAAATGGATGGATGGATGAGTGGAGGGAAGGAGGAAGGGAGGGAGAAAAAGGAAAAAAAAATTATGAACAAATAAGGTGTGCTTTATTTTATTACTTTCTGGGTTATATTTTTTCCTTTTTTTTTAGTTAAATGACATCACTATTGAATATTTAACACAAATTATACATGAGTACTTTCCACTGTAGGAAAGCTCAAAAATCAGCACAACATCTTCCCAGATTCACTTTCAATGAGGACTCTCCAGGGCCTCCTCCATGTCCCACGTGCTTGGAGTGCAGTCGCCTTAACCTAGTTTACCTGTCCCTTCCAGAAACACCTCGGCCTGGTGGCTTTCGCTCACTGTTGGCAGAATTTCCAAATAGCCATCACACTGTTTACAGAGGCAGGGTGACTTGAGGACAGAAGCGCCGGGTCCAAAAGGGACGGAATGAAGAAAGCTCATATCCAGGGAGCCAGGGAGGCTGGGGAACAAGCAGTAGGGTGACACTCCAGCCACATGAATAACCTAGCATGTGGTCAAGTTTCAACAGGAACCAACTGCATTAAATACTTAAGAGCATTGATTCCACCTTGCAACCTGCTTCATTTCTCCTGCTTGGTGGTCTGGACCCTACGTCTGTATTTATCTACCCTTTTCAGGATGGTCATCTCATTCTGTCAAATGCCTTTATTTTTTACTCTCTCTGGACTGTGCTCTACTTGTGCCAATTATAGGAAGAGCCGTAACTCTTCTACAGGTCACCTATTTTCCTGCATGAAAACATGTGCTCCTCTGTTGGGTAGGGTACTGGGAAAAGAATCCAGAGAATCTCTACCACTGAGCTATAACCCCAGCTCTTTTCCTTTTTTCTGCTCTGAGATAGGATCTCACTAAGTGGCTGAGGCTGGCCTAGAACTTGCCCTCCTCCTAACTTAGCCTCCTGAATGGCTGGGACCATAAACATGGACCACGAACACTGCCCTGTGGTCTTATTTTTTAAACATGGTAAAGTCTGGGCATGCTCTAATGTAGAGATTTCGGGGGGATATTTATGGTGGAACCCAGGGTGTCTAACATGTTAAATAAGTTCTACCACTAGGGTATATCCATAACTCTTTATTTTCTGAGACAGGGCCTCACTACGTTTCCCAGGTGGGATTTAAACTCATGATCCTCCTTCTTCATCCTCCTGCATAGCCTGCATTACAAGGATCTGCCATCATTTCCCACCAAATTTAATTTTCGTTGCTGTTGATTTTGAACTTATGTGACTTGCATTTGAGAACATTGTACAAATCTCCCGAGACTAAGCAGAACTTTTATTCTACACAGAACCTACAATCCTTATGGCACAAAACCACCCCGTGGCATTGCTATGGGGTGGGTGTGGTATGTGGCAGCTCATCAGTTGGCAATGCGGAAGGGACGGTGGGACCTCCAAGGAGTGGGTCCCCAGATTACTAGAGTATGTCCTTGGACATTTTTAGGCCATACCCTAAAACTTATGAGACTCTGAATTTTGCTCCGAGAATGAGTTGCTAGAGAAGTCCAAGCCATTAACCTAGGAAGTCACCATTAGTAGCCAAAGGGTGCATTAAGCACATCATAGAAGTATAATGCAGTTATTCCAATATCCTCATTTGATGTATGCAAACTATCTCAGCTCTGCCCTGTGCTCTGTTTTCTTGGGAAATCTGACAGCTATGGATTTTTTTGACCCTGCTTCCCATTCCAAATTACTCCGTGGTAAGATGACATTCAACAAAATGACATTCAAGAATAGGAATCATAGCACAATATCAACCTTTCTCTATCAAATGTATAAGATTGGTTTACTTTTAAATTAAGAGCATGGGTCAGGAAGCCAAGCCATTAGGATCTGAATCTCATTTCTACCACTTACTAGGTATCTTGGTTATTGTTTCTGGGCTTCGATTTCATCTGTAAAATGATAAAATGGTAAGTGGAGCACTGTACACCGATCATACAGTTGTTCTGAAGATTAAATAAGATAGCATATGAGAAGTACGTATTATCTGGCACATACTGTTATATAACTGTTATTATGCTTAACAACACATAATTACTATTAAAAAGAAAGGTATTACCTTAGCTTATATCTTATAATAATTCTTATACTTATACCCAGAAGGGTGTGTTTACCTAAGTTATTAAAATTTACAAATTCAGCATTAAGAATTTGATTTGGTTTTAGTCATGATTAACTTTTAACTCCAATTTTCGTATTTTTCTTCAACTCTAGTTTTATACATTCCCAGCCTACCTTTTCCAAATGTCAATACTGTAAAGTTCTCCACAACCCCCTCAATGAATCTTTTTGTTTTCTTTTATAAACATATAGAGTACAAAGCTTGCATAAGGAGAAACAATGTTACCAATATCAAAGATTGGCACCAAAACCTTAAAGAAGCTACAAGTAGCCTTGAAAGGAAAAAATTGTTTATATAGATGAGTTTCAGAGAGGAGGCATGAGGCAGGGTGTAACAGACTGGTTGGCAGAGAAGCTACTAGGAGGCACATACTTCAGGCGTAGACTTGGAAGTCAGACTCAGTGCCCCACCCAGTAAGAAAGACGAACTGTTACACAAAGGTGGAAGACGAAGCATGGAGTGGACAGGCTGTTCTGCGGACTAACTCCCCATTCTCAGAGCTAGCCTAGAGCTATGGCCCATTTCTCCAAATGCTGCACAGTTCGGCCATTTAGCCAGTGCTCAGTGAGGTGCAGGACACTTGGTGGACTTTCTGCCCTTGAGGAAGCTGCCCAGAAACTGGAAG